CAGAGGGCAAGTGTTCATCTGGTGACCTTCCTTGTTGCAGTTCCAGCATTGGAGCTTTGGCTGGGTGCCTGAACCTGAGGCAACTGCATTCATTTCTGAAACTCGTGTGGTGCTTTTCTTCTGAAGTTGATGACCCTGGTGACTTCCCATGGAGGGGCCCATGGGAATGAAGGACCCATCATATCGCTGGGCAAGCCAAACAACTGACTGGTAGTCAAGACCAGTTGGGTGTTGCTCCAAGTCATACCAAAGCTGACTGAGGATTCTGGACCAGAGCCCTGAGACAAATGCAGCCACCTTGACTTTATCAGCAAGTCCAGTGGTGTTCATCGCTTTGGATTCAAACTTGAGGATATACTTGTCAAGGGCAGTGTCACCCTGTTTCAGAGAGAACAGAGCACAATAGCTGATGATGTCTTGGTTGGTGGACCAGAAGCATGCCTTCATATTCTGCTTGAAGTCTTCCCATATGGCAGGTTTTGGATCAAGGTCACACCACCATGCTGAGACACCCACACCACAAAATGACCAAGCAATATTGACCTTCCATTCTGAAGGAACCTGATGGAGTTCCATGCCATCTTCCATAGCCTGAAGCCAGACTCCTACATTCTCAGAGGTAAGGCCTTCAAAGCGAGGGGCATCCTTCCAGCCAGCCAGAAGGTGGTTGAAGTCAAATCACTGTTCTTGCCCAACAGCTTCTGTAATTGGTGGTACTTCATGAGACTGGGAGAGCAGAACCATTTGCTGTACCAGATCCCAAATTGACTGCACCAAGCTTGCCTGGTTTTCAGCCATGGAGATGGCTGCACCAGCAGCTTGGTGTGCTGCCTCTGCAGCAGAGGATGTATTCAGGTGAGGTGTTGGTGGACATTGGCCAACTGTGGCACCATCTTCAATATGTGTTGGGACAATGGTGCTCTGAGGTGAGTCTGGAGGAGCTGATGCAGGTTGAGTGGGTGTGGTCATTGTTGCTGAGTTTCTTTAAGAGAAGGACTGAGGTCAGATCATGGTTTCCTGCTACCAACTGTTGAGTTGCTGATTAGGGGAGAATAGTACAAGTAGCATGGATTGGCCTGCTGCAGGCCAATCCGTCCCTATATACATATAGGCTACATAGATAGTCTAACGGAATCAAATTCCGGTGCCTTAAGGCTGCGCAAGGGTCCTGCACTGCCACTCTTGGCACACACTCGACAAAGCTGGCGAGTCTTATCCTCCCTGGCGCGCGGGGCTTGACGCGAAAGAGCCTGCCCTAAATTCCATCTCTTCGTCCAGCACAGCCTTCCCCATTTGGACCGAGTCTGAAATTTCCGGTCCACTTTCTTCATCACACCCACTCATACTACAAAATTGTAGTATATCTCTGCATCTTATTAGCCTCGCTTGTCACTCTTGTATATGCCGATATGAAACGCACGATTAACGGACAGAGTGGCTTTGTTTTGGTTTGCCATCGGCCAGATATCGTATTAACTCTGCCGCATCAGCATCTTCGTGTCGCCACATTTGAAGAATGATGACGGACGTACTGGCACGTGTCGGCGCTCTAGTGATCAATCGCATCAAATTTTGACCACGGGTGGTCTCAGAGTCTTCGTCCAACTTACTTTTCACCATCGTAACGTCTAACATGAAGGGACAATCGGTAGTTACCGTACACACCTGCAAATACGCTCATATTCTCAAAGTTTTCACAGGGATCATCCGCTTCCTCTATTGAAGATGGCCAATGCCTTTCAGAGCCCGTTTCCAACCTATCCTGCAACTCTCCGACACCTGAGATAATGGGAAATCCTGTAAGCATCTCCCACATCCCCGACGCGCTTGTATCCTTAACTTCTCCATAGCGATCTCCCGTTTCGTCCATTGAAGATGGTGGAATGGACCTTATCGTCAGCCCAGAAACCGGTCCTATCCAGTTGATCCAGTCCACGAACCACTCCGAGTTGGTTTCTAGCACCTTCAATTTCGACAGTTCCGATCTTACCCTGCGCGCTGAAGAAGACGGTCACCGGGTGCTATTTCGTATCCATCGTGTCATGCTGGTCGAACTCGAAGGCGGTTTCAAGGATCTCATTCTTGCGTACGACACCCTGGAATGTGGTCGCGTTTCTGTCATCCCCATTCCCGTCAACCCGATTGTTGTGAATTTTCTGCTTCAGTGCATATATCCGATGCCTGATCCAAAGGTCCAATCTCTCAACCTGTGGCACGAATGCTATGTTGCTGCGAAGCTATATGGCGTCCGTGCTGCTGTCACCTCTCTTCGAGCCCAGTTTGACGCCTTCATACACCCAGCTCCTCTCCGCGCGTTCGCCATTGCTGCCAGTGTCAATCTTGATGACGAACTCGACAGTGCTGCCCGCCAGACCTTCGGTGTGGATCGCATGTCCAACTCGGGGCAAATCGAAGAATTCAGGCATATGCCAAGCTCGTATCTGATCGCCCTCCTACACCTGCATGCGGCTAGGGACAGGCTCGTTCGCGATTGGGCTGCCCAACTGGTGCCGATAATTCCCAGATGTGCAGAATGTCAGAATGTGCACTGGACAGAGAACTGGATTACCCTGCTCCGCGCGGAGCTTGCCACAAATATTCGAATTCCACTGGAGGAACTGTTCAGAATCGATTTGATCAGCGTGGCCTGCTTCCAAACCGTTTCCACGCCTTGCTCATCATGCCCCGTCCCTCCGAACGGAGAGGATATCAATGTTTGGGCCGATCAACTGATTACTTCTCTTAACAATGAACTTAATAGCATGTCTAGTATGTGATTTATCCTGCTTGCCACATCATCTTCTGACCCAGCGTCTTCAGTCGTCCAATTCAATCGCTGAACCTCCAAACGTAAGTAAGGTTGCTATTCTCTCTCTTTCTGATGAGTGTCGATTTCGACCACAATGGCACCTCTTAGCCGAGAGCGGACCTCTGGATGCCTGTGGGCAGCACGTCTGCACCTATGACTTAGTTGACATGCTGATCTTCCTCTCTATTGCCCTTTCTTCCGCACCCGTGCTGATGTCGTTCGTTTCAGGTACACCTTGATTTGTCATCCATCTCCATACATCACAACGTCTTCATCGCCATCGTTCACTCCCTACTGTGCTAATGATTACATGGTTTAATATGGACTGCTTGATATGACGTCGCTCAGTTGCGTCTGGGGCACAGCATATGGCTTGCCTTGCAATCTTGTCATTGTCTTTTGCTCATATGGGTAAGCATATCCAATCAATTTGTACTCGTTGAACTGCGTTCCGAGGAAAGCGAGGCCAAAGGGTACGCCTGGCGCTGGGTAAACAGTGACAGGTCCAGCAGAGCCAATGGTGACGTTGGACGGATAGAACCCGAGAGGCACAGTGATGATAGGGTATCCCGCAATCGCTGCTGGCACGGTCGTGTATCCTGTCCATTCGTCAGCTTTGAATGCCCTGTGGACAACTATCTGTTCGTACCTGGACTGGGCATGATAAGCGCGTCCAGCTTATACATCTGGAGTGCAGCGTCGATGCCGTTAGTGCGACCCAGTGCGTAATCATCATACAACGCGGTATAGTATGACGAGTTGAAGCCGGTTGTAGCTTCTGCCGCAATGAACTCGGATTGATCAGAATAGTTAGTCGGCAGCTCCAGTTCACTGTGCGCTGATGCTCAGCATTGATCACTTTTTGGAACAACATGAATTCCTTACAGATTTGCAAGGTTATACGCAATTACGTCGGCAAGCGTACGAACCCCAGTTGGAACCTCCACCAAGTTTGCAAGATAGCGGTTCAAGTCAATCTATGAACGATCAGCGAGGTCATCGACGATCTTGGGCACCCACCTTGAAGTCAGTGTTAAGAACGACTGTCTCATTGTTGCTCTGCGTGATCTCGATCGCATCCGGAAGGTCAGCAGGATCGACAATTGTGGCACCCAAGCTCTTGAGAGTCTCGATGGCTTGGTTGAACACAACATTCACGTATGGGTCGTTACCCGTATAGTTGTCCTGGTCAAAGACTATTCGAGGCACGCCGATACGAGCGCCTTGCAGTGCATTCGCATTCAAGGCGGTCGTGTAGTCGGGGACAAGCGCTGGTGCTGCAAGGGTGTAGTTGTCACGGACATCTCGCTTGGCTATAGCAGTCAAGAGTGCTGCGGAATTAGTAACCCAGCGGCACATCGGACCGACAGTATCCTGATGCTCCGAGATCGGGATGACTGAAACATCAGACCGGGCGAGTTGGACATGATAGAAGACATGACATACCTCCAGAGCGGCTGACCAGCCCAACGCTCGGCTTGATGCCTACGAGATTGTTCTGATTACTGGGGCAGACGATACTGCCGTCCGTTTCACTACCAAGGGCACCAGCAGCCAATCCAATTGCACTCGATACCCCAGATCCCGATGAAGAGCCGCAAGGATCAGCATTGGGGTAGTACGGGTTGGTACATTGTCCACCGCGGCCTGACCAGCCCGATGCGAGATTACCACGGAAATGCGCCCATTCCGATTGGAGCCGTAAGCAGTGGTCTTGCACCAAGAACAAAGGAACTTACGAGGTTCGCTTTGCCCAGGATGATAGCCCCCGCCCGCCGCAGCTTTTCCGCAACAGTAGAATCACCGGGCACGATCGAGCCTAATAGTGCGTAACTCCCAGCCGTGGTGTTCATTCCCTCCTCCGCCGTGGTCGCGATGTTATCCTTAATGATGATGGGAATCCCATGCAGAGGACCGCGTTTCCCGTACACTTGTGGTTCCCAGTCCAACTCAGCAGCCTGGGCTAGGGCAGCTGGGTTAGTCTCTATCACCGCCCGAAGCGCAAGGCCCTGGAGGTTGACCTCCTCGATCCGCGCAAAATAGGCGTTCACAAGGTCGACGCTAGTAAAGTCGTCGTAGTCCAGGCCATTTTGGAGCTCAAGGAAGCTGGCTTGCATGAGATCGGGTAAGGGCCATGCCCGTACAAAGAATGAGCAGAGAGCGAGGACGAGCAGGACAGCCATTGCGAACTGAGCTCGTGTGGGTTGTCATCTCCGATACAATCTGTGTTATATCTCGTATCTCGTATCTCATGTCCCAGCAATCTCACAAGGACCAGACGATGGGGTGGAAAGTCCAGTGAATGCTGTCCGGTGCAGACGGGATACGGTGCGGAAGAGGACAAGAAGCGTGGTTGTGCGGAAGAAAGTGCTGGCGTTTTGCCAGCAAAGGCATGTCCACGACAGGAATCTCGACGGGACGTGCTATCTAACACCAATAGGACGCAGGCGCCTAAACATATTAATGACTTTGGGGCCTGTTCACGATTTCAGCACTCCGTTCTAATAGATAGGTGTGTGTGTTTAACCGGGGAAGTAGAAGAGCCAGTGTACTCTATGCTTCCCAATGAGGCGTCAGGAGTAGGTCTGCTGGAGGGGGAGTAGAGGTCGATGGTTCGAGTAGTACAGCGGTTAGTTCGCAAGAGAAGCGTAGATAGTAATCGAAGGATAATTCGAAGAGAGAAAAAGAGGGGTCAAATGCGCAATCGAAGTCAGTTCCGAATCTCGAACGGAGGGGTAAGTGCTCATATGCATATGCCTTGAAGGGAGCTCGCGTCTGCAGGCTGCAGTCGTTCGAGTCGGAGTTCGATCCGAGTCCAAGAGTCCGAGACTATTCTGCCTAGGAAGGTCGTTCGAAGACCGAACGAGTGTTCAAAGGATCAAGTATAAGAGGGAGAGTAGAAGCAATAGGGGTGTGCTGCACACTCTAATTTCGAAGTCGGATTTGATGTTCGAACGGCACTCCGAACGACACTCCGAACGAGGTCCGAAAGGACTATGTGAAAGGGCTTAAGGTGCCCTTACGCCCTCAATACATACACGGAACAAATGTATTACTAACTAGTAGTAATACATGCGTGTAGTAAAAGGGATGAGGAGAAGGGTGGCCTACAGCCACCTGTTACGTGTCAGTCCATTGGACGATCATGATCGCCTCTGCGAGGCGATCCTACCTAGAAAGGAAAGGATGGGGTCATATACGGACCCTTACACACCCCCCCCTGTCAAGGAGGAAGGGGTACACATACTAACAGGCATGGTCATAACTGTTGCCATCACTATAATTGAGGAGGGTATCATCCTCAATGGCTGCATCCACATGAGATGGACCAGCAGCAGTAATGGTATGATCATCAGACCATTTCAAACCTTCAGGTTTGAGACCCAATGGTGGAAGGCCCTCTGCAGGAGGGGGAACTATGGCAGACTGGAAGACTTCTGTCCATAAGGATTGGCCATGTCAGTCTACAAGACTGAGAGCACATACACCATTCTTGTCAAGAATGTTGTCGTGGTATACATGACTGAGTTCCACCTTCTGTTGTCTATGACCAAAGTAACCAACCAGTGTGTCAATTTTTGATTCATTGAGCCCACTGGTGATGAACTCTTTGGCAACCCTGATAGGGCTCCAAACATGTACGCCATCTGCATTGAGGGAGATGACTTTGTGGAAGCAAGTGGTCATAGACCAATGGGGAATGGCAGATCGGCTGAGCTGATGCTTGTCAACAAACTCTTTGAATTCAAATTTAGTTTGAAAGAGATTCATTGCAATCTCATAAAAGGCAGCAGCATTGCCCTTTTGCCAGCCTTTAACATCTGCATGAGGACAGTGATCATGGAGCCAAGTCCACATGTTAAGGTCAAGGATGTAGTATCTCCCATCCATAGAGCGCCTAATGCTAGGCCCCTTGTTGAGGTGAGGATTCACCTCTTTGCCCTCCTGCTCCACCATCTTCATGAACCAGGACCAGAGGTTACCTGTCTGTGGAGTGTGAGCCCAGTGGGCATCAGCAGTCTCCATTAAGACCTGCCAGCAGGGAAGATCCATGTTTTGGGTCATGGTCAATTGCTTTGCTGTTACAACTCCCTGCCAGGGATTTGTTGGGTTGGCTCATGGGACAGGATGACCCATCTGAGCCACATGAGCAGCTGCATGTTGTGCAGCTACCATCTCTGAGACTCCCATGGGAGGGAATCACTGTTGCATAGCAGTGACCACAGAGGGACTGTTTGCATCAATCTGAGTTGATGCAGATTGAGCATTAGCTCCAGAGGAGCTAGACATAGCCACGGCGGTTGTCCAGATGAGAGTGAGAGGCAGTCCAGCAGTGCTGGATGCAACCGAGCTGTAAGACTTGCTCAGGGTGGGGGCACCAGAAGATGTTGTTACCATTGATATAGATGGTACTTTGCATGGAGGCACAGAGGTGGGCTCATCCACAGCAGGATGCTTGCTGAGGGCTATGGCAGAGGGTTGGGGAGGAGCCAGTGCAGGCTCCTCAATGATGGGGTCATCCATAGGGACATCATAATTGTCAGGCATCTCATGGGAGGATGCCAGCTGCAGTTGCAAAGATGTGCTTGCAGCCCCTGTGGTAGGAGGTGTGCAAGAAGGATCTTTGTGATCCAAGGTTGAGTGAAGATGACCATGAAGGTAGTCATATTGGGAGCACCAGTCATTGCGGTCCCAATGGAAATGCTCGGCATCTGACCTAGCCTGTGATGCCAATTGCTGGGCATCAGAGATCATTTTCATGGTAGTCAAGCAGAGCTGCCTAGTGTCATCCAGAGTAGATGACAATCTTGCATTCTTCTCAAGGGAACATGCAAGGTCTTCTTTCCTCTTACAAAGAGCACATTCAAGTTCTTCAACTTGATTGAGATGTTCACAATGGAGGTGGAACAATTCATTGGAGCAGTCTCTGCAGTCCAGTGTGAGACACTCACAAGTCTCTTCTGCAGTCCAGCAATGCATGCAATTGAAGAGCAGCTCGTCAGCAAGCTGCTCAGTGGAAGGAAGAGCCAACCATAAGTTGGCATGAGGATTCCCTGCAAGGAGAGCAAAGGGCTCAGAGGCATGGGCACAAGCCTCAGGGTAAAAGGGATCAGTAGATCCCCAGGCATACTTGGGCATTTGGGGCCTTGTGTCAGGGCACACTGCCAGATATCAAAAGTATCCTCAAATCAGGAGCCTGATAAAAGTGAGAAGCAGCAAGGAGAGCATGAAAGCTTGAGTTGTGGTTGACAGTAGGGCCAATGTATTGAATCAGCCCGAAATGCCTTTAGTCACAAGAGAGGTGCAGTGGAGTCACAAACAATCCAAGGGGGTCAAAGTCTAGGTTTGAACACCAATTGGAGAGTCAAAGAGGTTTGGTGAGAGTTCAATCTAGGTTTGTCACTATCTGACAGTGGAATTCCTGAGAGATCAGCTCTAAGGGGCATAAGGCTCCCAGAGCTGGTATATATACATGTAGGAAAAATGGAAGTATAATGGAATCAAAAGAGTAGCTGTGGGACTGTACAGTTTACCATTGTTTAGGGTGGTGCTTCAAAGAAGTCACGTGGTTTTTGCTTCAGGGTCAGTGGATTTGGGCTATACTGAGGCTGAAGTAAGCCTTTCAGTGTCGATTGTATCAAATTTGCACCAAAACTGGGTGAACCCTGACACCTCAGTAAGCTGTGTGCATCATGTCCATAAGACATGCTGCAATCCTCCTTTGGGTGGAGGGGTACCCCATCTGGGATGAGGTAAGGATCTTTGTCATCATCAACAAATTCTTCTTCATCCTCGTCCCAAGGGATGAGGGCTGACTCCAGTGGGTCGGCAGGGTCACCCCAGCCAGCAGAGGAGTCCCTTCCAGACAAAGTGCCCCTGCCTACAAGTGGGGTGCCAGAAGGTTCACCCCATCCAGTGTGCAAGGATGGGGGGTTGTTCAACAGAACAATGGTAGTAAGGTCTGTGCCATTCAAGGAGACCATTTGTGGGAAGAGGGATGGTGGTAGTGAGAAGAGAAGAGAGGTGGTCTCTTCTTTGGCCTTTGCATTGGCCAAAAATTTGCGGAATTGCTTCCACTTATGGTCTGCCACAGCAGTTGTGGGGATAAAAGGCCAAAGGCCTTCCATTGTTAGTCATGTGGGCTAACAATGACATTGTCCCTGAGGATCCCTTTTTGGGAGATCCTCTGGAGTCTTCATGCCCTGAAGCTCCAAATACTCATCCAATTGGGTGAGTTGGTCTGCCTTACTGGCAGACTCCCATGATTGGTCCCTGTCAGACCAAATAAAGTGGAATTGCAACTTGCATTGCCTCCAATGATGATCATCGATCAACTCAATGATCTGTTTGCCATCTGGTGCGTTACCATAAATGGTATCTGGATCTCTTCCTGGGAAGAGGACATCATCACTGTGGATGTAAGGCCTTATTAGGCTTGTATGAAATGTTGGGTGTATCCCACATTTCTTCATGCTCTCAGAGAGAGCTAACAGACAATTGTCTGTATCCATGACCTTTCTGATATGGAAAGGTCTGATATTCCTTGGCAGTAGTTTTACTGCCCAGTTCTTTGGAACTGCCAAGTTATGCATGGAAAGGAAAACCATGTCTCCTTTCTTGTATCCAGGTGAAGCCTGTTGACACTTATTAGCGTGATGAGCCTGATTTACTTGGGCTTCAATTATTGCATCTGTTGCAGTATGTACTGCATATTGTGCACGCTGCATGAAATGATCTACACCTTGGTACTTCAATTCAGAGTGCCTTACAATCCATGTTATGGATGGAACATGTCCATAATTCAGTTTGAAAGGACTGAATGTAGTGCTAGCACTTATGCTAGTGTTGATCGAATATTCTACCATAGGTAGACACTCACACCAGTCAGACTGGTCATCTGCTACAACCATTCGTAGCATTTGTGCAACTAAGCATATCATTTGCTCAGTCATTCCATCCATTTGGGGATGAAATGAGGTTGACATAAGCAACATTGTACCAAGTTGCTTAGGCAACACCTGCCAAAACATGGCAGTGAACTTAGAGTCTCTGTCTGAGACAATACTATCTGGTACACCATGCAAATGCATGATTTCCTGAGTGAATACTCATACAATGTCAGCCAAAGATGACATCATTAACAATGGTATTAGATGTACCATTGCTGTCAGTTGACATATGACTACTAACAAGTAGTCATATCCCTCTGAGAGAGGGAGAGGACCCATAAAGTCCATTGCTATGGAGCTCCTTGGAGCTCCAGGGATAGGGAGGGGATGGAGAAGGCCAGAAGGCTTCACCATGCTCTCCTTTGCCATCTGGCAACACAGGCAAGTCCTGCAAATCTTTTTCATGTCTTCAGCAACAGATGACCACCAAAACTGGTGTTGAAGGAAGGCTAGTGTCTTCCTATTGCCATAATGGACAATGCTAACATGAGCATTGGCTATGAGAAGCAATCTTATAGATTGCCCATTGGGCATGTACAGAGCTACATCACCATCTGGGTGATGCATATACAGCAGGTTGTCTTTGACAAACCACTGTTTATTATTTGGCACTTGTGCCACTGCCTTCCGGTAGAAGGTATCTGCCATATAGGCATGTTTTATTGCTCCTATCAGAGCAGAATATCCACATGGCTGGAAACTTGAGGTTTTCACTATGGATGTAGAGGAGCCAATGCTTGGTAGTGTTGCCACTTCCCCTGCAGGAGCATGGGTCAGATCCTCAGGCTGTATCCCAGCCTGAACATGTTTGACTCCTGCCTCTTCAGCAGAAGGGGTGATTGCCGCAGCGTTGGAATGGTCAGAGTGACTGCTGTTGAGTTCAGCACTTTGCTGAACTCTTTGTTTGACTCATTGTCAGGGTACACCAAATTTGGACTGATTCAGACCAACATTTGTGCACCAAATGCCCAGCAAACCCTGATTTGGATGAGAAGTATGTGTTGAAGCAGAGAGGGGTTGACTAGATCACTGATTCACCATTCATGGCCCATTCAACACTGATTCAATAATGTACAGTTCCTCAGCCACAGTTCTGCTTCCCTTTTGCTTCCTTTTTTGGATAGACATATATACCCAGCCAAAGGGGCCTTATGCCCCTTAGAGCTGATCTCTCAGGAATTCTGCTTTGTCGAATCATGCATTTGTAGGTGTGAATCAAACTGAAGTCATTGGTCTCTACCTCCAAATCCCCTGAACTGACTGTTCACTGAGATTTCCTTGGGGGTACCTTTGTACCCTTGAATCTTGTTGTCATCTGATGCACTGCAACTGTTTGTTGCAGCTCAGCAAGACAATCTGAGGAGGCATCTTCCATCTCCTTGTCTATCTGCATATCTGCAGAGACAGTCTCAGTAGGACTGTCAGAGCATGACATCCAGTCCACTAATTTATTATGATCTCCAGGTATATGGAGAATATTTATTATGTTGAAGTGCTGCAGGTATTCCTGAGCACGTATTACTCTGGCTCCAGCCAGAGTAGCCTTTGATTGAAGGTATTGCAATGGTGCATGGTCCATGCAAATAGTAATGGGAATGCCCATTAACTGGCTCTCCCACTTGGTGAGAGCTTCCAATACTGCCAGCAATTCATGCTGGTAGCTAGGGTACCACAATTGGGCACTCATAAAGCATCTGGAGTGGAATCCAGCAGGTCAGACTTTGTCCCATGATGGCCCCTGGCCATAGTAACATCTTACCCTGCTGGTAGATGCATCTACTATGACAAAGCCAGGGATCCCATTTTTGGGATTGATAGGCTTCAGCACCAGATAGTCTGTATCCAGGCCAAGAATCTTCTTGAAACAAGTTTCATGCATAGGAGTTACATCATAACTCCTATTTTGGTGTGTCAATGAGGACAACAGCCCAGTGTATTTGGCTACATCTGGGAAATATGGTGCCAGATAGGACACCATGCTGAGGAAGCACTGCATTCCTTTGGCATCCTTGGGGAACTTTGCATTCCAGATGACAGACATCTTGTTGTCATCTGCATAGACACCTTCATCTGTGATCTTGTGTCTGAGACACTCGATACTGGGAGACAGCAAGTCAACCTTGTCCACAGACAAGTAAAGCTTCTCTTTTCTTAGGATATTGAAAACTATCCTAAGATTTGCAGTGGCTTCACTTAAAGTGGAGCCAATGACAAAGATGTCATCAAGGTAGCAAACTACCTTTTGCATCCAGTGCTCACATAGGATGTGCATCATCATGCAATTGGAATGACACAGGGAGATTGCAATCGCCTTGTTGGCCAACTTGGCTAATGAACGTCCCAAATGGGTTTTGGAATGCAGTTTTCCAGACATCATCTGGGTGCACTTGAAGCATTTCGAACACATTTTGAAGATCTAATTTAGATCTGAATGGGTGTTGGGCCACCCATCTACAGATCTCATCCTGATCCGGCATCAGTGTAATGTCCTTCACCATGTTTGAGTTTCTCTCTTGACAGTCAACAGTTGTTCTAAGTCAACCATTCCATTTTGGAATACACAGCATGGGCAATGCTTGCTGTGTTTGGGTTGGTACCCACCAGTTGGCAGTGACATATCACTGAGTCTTCTCATGAAGCTCCTCCCTGAGTAACTCAGGGCAGGCAGGACGATGAGTCCTATACTGTTTTTTATCATCAATCTGGTTGATGTGATGATTGACCTCCCTCAAAGGAGGGAGCTGTTGTGGGATCTCACCTGTGAGATCCTTAATACCATTGATAAGAGTCTCTCTTATCTTTTGTAACATTTCTTCCCCATAGGAAGATAGTGTTTCCCTAGTACCCTTTGGGGCCTGGGGGGTGGATGCTTGTGCTGTGAGCACATACTTGACCCCAATGTGGTTGGGGTGTTTGACTTCTCTTCTGGAAGCCAGCTTCATCTTTGGGATGCTGTTCTGTATTCCTACGGACAATGCCTCTCCTGAGGCTATCCATTTACCCATAGGGCCTCCAATACAGAGGCCTTTTCTACTGAGATCTAATAAGATCTCAAACTTCTTGCTGAAAGGTGTACCAAGGATCACTTTGCATTTGTCAGTATTGACAACATCAAAGGAGTGTTCCACTACTCTGTCACCAATGTCAATCTTGGCATTAACACTGTACTGAATCACAGTATGACTGCCCCTACTCATCTGTCATAGGGCAACTGGATTATCCAGTTTGATGTATTCCAAGCCATGGGCTTGGATGAAGTCAGCAGAGATTGTATCAATCTCTGCACCACTGTCCAGCAGGGCAAACACAGGGTGCCCAGCGATGCTTATATAGCATTTGATGGGGGATGATGCAGCACCGTCCCAAAGAGCTTGCTCTCTTCCTAGACAGATGGTGCCATCTCTTCACCAGATCTCTGGCTTGACATCTTTTGCTGCTGTGAACTTAGTATGAGCAGATACTGCTCATACCACTGGTAAGCCAACAGGCTTAATTGACATAACTTGCATGTTAGCAGGTATGATGTTCTCTGCTGGGACATCTTCAACATCTTTGATGTTGGCAGACTTGCATACTGGAGGATGATTGAACTCTTCATCCTTCAGGTCATAATCACCTGTATCATCCTCAGGATGAAGATCACCAGGTTCATCATCTAGACAAGGTTCCATCAATATGGCATGTATGCCATTGTCCTCAAGGATGTATTCTACACCCTCTATCATTTCAGGTGCAGCAAGATGCACACCTCTTTGTTGAGGGCAGGTATTTGCCCAATGACCTGACTTGTTACATTTGTAACAAGTCAGGTCTCCCCCAGACTGGGGTAGTTTTGACTTATTGTCAACATGACAAACATTGTCCCTCTTGACTCCCCCAGATGTACCAGGGGTTGGAGGTCTCCTCCTGTAGCTTACGGGATATGTCTCTTTCTTGGGAGTTACTCCCTTCTCCACAGGAGCCCCTTTAGAGGGGCCAGCTCCCAGTTTGGGCATTTCTGGGCGCCTAATCTCATATCATATCAGATGATATGACTGGCTGGGTTGAGGATATGATCTCCTCACAGGTATTGAACTACCTATTGTCATCCCTCTATAAGGGGACAATGTTTTGGACATATTCCTACATGCCTGTAACCCTTGTGCCATGTCAAGTCCTCTCTCAGACTCAATGGCATGAGTAAACAACATGTCAAACATCTAATTGTCAATGTCATAACCTGACTCAAGCACTTTGGTGCTTATCTCTTTGTTTAACCCAAAGAGGAACCTCTTTTTAATTTGGAAGTTGTTAGGATGCTTGTGCATCCTACTCATTATGGACATTAATTTGTCCTTATACACTTCAACAGTGTCTCATCCTTACAACAAGCTGTCAAAAGTGCCATATGCTTTCAATGTTTCTTCTGCTGAGAAGAAGTGATTATACAATCCCCAGATCATCTGGGAAAATGTCCATTGATCTCTAGGTGTTTTACCTAGATCAATGTTCTGCTCTACCCAACAGTGAGCTCTGCTGGTCACATGTTGACTGGCATAAGTGATTTTCCAATCACTAAAGTCAGGCCCAGTCATTCTGGCTGCACAAAATGCATGTACCAGTGTCACAAGAAATTTGATGAATTTCTCCACATCTAATTCACC